TAACTGTGAGAGGGATCTTGGAGTCTTAGTGGACAATCACTTAAATATGAGCCAGCAGTGTGCTGCAGCTGCCAAAAAAGCCAACACAGTTCTAGGCTGCATCAACAGAGGGATAGAATCAAGATCACATGAAGTATTAATATCACTTTATAATGGCTTGGTAAGACCACACTTGGAATATACATCCAGTTTTGGTCACTACGATGTAAAAAAGATGTTGAGACTCTAGAAAGAGTACAGAGAAGAGCAACAAAGATGATCAGGGGACTGGAAGCTAAAACATATAAACAACAATTGCAGGAATTGGGTATGTCTAGTTTAATGAAGAGAAGGGGGAGGGGGGACATGATAACAGTGTTCCAATATCTCAGGGGCTGCCACAAAGAAGAGGGAGTCAAGCTATTTTCCAAAGCACCTGAAGGCAGGACAAGAAGCAATGGATGGAAACTAATCAAGGGAGAAGCAACCTAGAACTAAGGGGACATTTCCTGACAGAACAATTAATCAGTGGAACAACCTGCCTCCAGAAGTTGTGGGTGCTCCCCACTGGAGGTTTTTAAAAAAGAGATGCAACAACCATTTATCTGAAATGATATAGGGTCTCCTGCTTGAATAGGGGGTGGACTAGAAGACCCCCAAAGTCCCTTCCAACTCTTATTCAGTATATATATCGTTCTGCATGTCTTTTATGATGAAGGTGGTAGATTTGTGAAAAGGACAGCACAGCAGTTTCTCCACCAAAGAGCCTCTAGACAAGATGTACTAAATTATTGCAGAAAGTATTCTATTTCCCCCTAGAAATTAAAACTTTGAAAATCTGTTTAAAAATTAAGGCCTTACTTTTTTTACTTGCTTTTCTCAGATGACAGGCTAGGCATGTCTTGGAAAAATGCCCATTGGCTGTTTTGCTGCTGAGTAGTAGATTTTGTTGGGTGCCAGGAGATATAATAAGCTTGGGCCCTTCTGGAAAAAAAACCCCTCATCATCATAGACTTTAGGACTGATGGGCACTTTTGTAGCACTTGGTTGTTGGTGTTTTATGCACACTATTATTTACATTATGCTTTAATGTAGAGTGAAAGAACCAAGGACTAACAATGGTAAAAATACAAAAAGGAAGCAAGTGGAGAGAGAGAGAGAGAAAGAAAGAAAATCACAAAACCAAATTAAATTACATAGGGGGAAAAAATCATTCAGCACAATTTTTAAACAGGTGATTAAACCTTAACCATACAAATAACATTGGTCAATCTTTATACTAGACAGACAGCCAGTTCATGAATAGACAGAGAATTTATATCATCAATCCAAGGTTATAGTCCATGGGTTGTACTTCCTTGCTGCCCTTCATGCTTTGCATATCCATCATTCTTGATAGAATTACACATTCCTGAAAGTTGATCTATAATTAAAAAGTGGATTCACATCCTCAAACCACATTGATCTTTCTAACACCATATGAACAACCTAAGGAAGTAGAACTCAGTTCTGTCCAAGTTGTGGAATGTGGGGAATACTCTATATTAGGTAGCAAAAGCAACAAACACATACAATGCCTAATCCACAGACAGATAAGCCACAAATAAAATGCCATTCACAACTCTACAATTTCCTTTAAAAGTAGTAAATGTTTGCACACGGTTTGTAACCACTCCAAAATCATCACATAAAGCTATTTGGTCTTCAAAACGCTTTGCAGAGCTGAAATGTGTTTGTTGCATCACAGAACATCTCTTCTTCAGTTTACAAACTTACTTTGATAGAGTCCTTTCTTTGGAATCAAAGCACCCTTTCAAAGTTCTGCATACCCTGATCTATTTCAGATTCCATAGTTTGTTTTTCAGAGTATAACTTATCTGGAGGATGTATAATCCATCCTCCAACACAGGCTGCATGGTCTTTCAGAAGAGGAGCAAAAGATGTTATTAGGCACTCAGCCACATGATTAAGGGTCCCTTTGCAAAAACATTATTAATAAAGAAGTAGTAAAGAATTAGTAAAGGAGTAAAGGAGTTACTATTGCCTGAAATTGTTTCATCTTAACTCCCTGGGCATGGAGATGAAGGAGGATTTAATTACCTTCAATAGGCAAAACCAGAAGAAGAATGTTGAAAAGTATAGATGGCTCCAGTCAATTATCTAGGGCCAATGAAACGTTAAGGCTAAGCTTAAAAATAAAGCATGCCAATTCTCTTGGCTTCCAAATAGAGGCCACAGCAGGTGATTGCACACCAGATCATTGAAGAGTGACAAAGGGCTCCAGCTGTAAATCATCTATACTTATATTTCAAACATCATATGTACCAGTGATAGACCGAGTGATAAAAGCCTTCTTAAATCAAGTGGAATGTGACATATCCAAGAAATACAGAAGTATAGGCAGATGCATGGCAGAATCATAACCTTAATTCATTAGGATCCTTTGGTTTTATGTCTGGTTTGATGGTTTTGCCATCCATCAATCCATTTCAAGCTATCATGGGTGACTAGACAGTGCTGAATTAATTCTGCCAGTTTTTTTCTGGAAATACAAAGTTTTGGGAGAGAAGAAAAGGTTGCTTTTGTTCTCTGATTACTAGGTTTTGGCTGCATATGTATTTTTTCTGACTGTACTTTTTACAATGATATGAAAAATAGGGAAGCAATACAGCTTCTTTAATCCATAGTTCCTAAAATATCTCATCATTTTGATGGGAAAATATTTAAAAGGGAGGTTATGGAGAGGGAAATCTGCTACTATGCTAAAAGTAGCCAGTATTTCAAATAGTTTTATGCAAAGCAAAAATTGGGGAAGCAAGAAGAAATTCCAGAGACTTTTGCAGAATAAATTTAAATATGTCTCCTTCTCAAAGAATGCCAAAGTATTGGAGAGAAATGGGCTCTGGTCTACAAAAGGATGTATTTCACACCTGTGCATCACAAGCCAAAAAAAGGGTGGGGGGAGAGGGGGGGGGACAAACCCAGAATCTACTCATCATCAAAATAGAGTTTTGACATCTCAAAACTAATCCCATTATATAGTAGTGTATTATGTGGAACATTTATTTTCTACAATGAAAGTGTCATTAACATCTTTTTGTCTCAGTGTTTCACCCATGCAAAGGTCATTTGTTTGTTTTTTGGGGAAATATTTGTTACAGAGAACAAGAAAAAGAGTACTACTCCATTAGCCTGCTCCCATAATTCTTTTAATACTGCCATAAGTTTGCATTTGCCATCTTATAAATGAAATTGGGCAATACCTTGTCAAGGAATGCTTTGGAAAAGATGGGTGTGAAGAGAACCCCAAAAGGGTAAAGTTGATGGGGGAGAGAATCAAGAGTCTTAAGGCTAATCCTTCAGGGAGCTCTTAGGCATAAACTCAGGTTCAATATTTATCTCAATGAATGGTGCAGGAGAATATTGTTGCTTCTGAATAGTCTCTTGATTTAGAGCAGTGGTTCTCAACCTTTCTAATGCCGTGACCCCATAATACAGTTCCCCATGCTGTGGTGACCCCCAACCACTTATACATCACTGGGTGCCAGGGGTGTGGCCAAAGAAAAGGGGAAAAAAATAGCGGACAGCCTTGTTTGGCGACCCCCGTGAAATGGTCATTCGACCCCAAATGGGGTCCCGATCCATAGGTTGAGAACCACTGATTTAGAGCATCTCTTTGGTGTTTATCTGTCATTTATTTAACCAATTATGTTGGGCTCATTTGCTCTTTATTTTCACTTCAACTCTTGGCAACTTAGGGATGTGCTTACCTCTTCTTCCTTGCTTCCTTTACTCTCTTCTTCCCCAATGCACCTTCAAAGAGCAAAGCATCCGCAAAATACTTTAATATTGAAAAGTGAAGGAAGGAATCTGGCACCTTCACACCAACCCCTACACAAAGACTTTGCAGAAAGCAGAACCAATTTAGGCTGCTGGTGCAAATTTTGATGCACTGTCAACAGGAAGGAAGGAAGGAAGGAAGGTAGGAAGGAAGGAATTTGGCTTTTCATTTCCTCCCCCCCCCTCTCATCCTGCCCTCGCCCTCTCCCCCCTTTTCCCCTACCGCTGCTCCTCGTCCTCTCGGTTTTGTCCAGCTCTCTCTCTCCGCCCATCTGGAGAACTCCAGCTTCCGAATCTCCTTTCCCGCCATCCGCTTTTTCTTTTCAGCACCGATACTATAATGTACCTCCGCACCACTAGTTATGATAGTATTAGTCATGGTGTTATTATTTTATAACTTTCCCTTCTTCCCGCAACAACTGTTGAGGTCGGGATGTGTGAAAGAGAGGCGGGGGGGGGACACCGATTCCAATTATTCGATACTTGAGCGTTTGGAAACCGCGGTCAGCAAACATGAAAGCAACATGGAAGCGGGAGAAGAGAGGGGGAAAGAGAAATATTGGTCACTGGGACGCAGGTTCCCCCCTCCTTCCTTTCAGGACTCAAACTCTGGCGAAGGAGAAGGAACGTAAAATAGCTTAACATGGTCGCAGAGGGATTATCCAAAAATAAAGGCAAACTGGGAAGCCTTGTGCCTCCTGCGATATTACTCAAGGTGAGCGAAGAGATCGGACATGCAAACATTCAGCGATTAGACTGGGGGGGGGGGGAGGAGAGAGAGAACCGAGCGCAGATCGGGTGTTTTTTTGTTCTATGTTATTTAAGGGCCCGGTCGCTTCTCTCCGGCCGAGTTTCAGCGCAGTGCCCTCAGGGCGATCCAAGGAGTGAACCCCCCCCCCCAGGAGCTGAGCCCAAAGGGGGAGAGGAGGGGCGGGGAAGGATACCGCGAAAGCTTTTGCAGTGGGGCCTTTTGACGAAAAATAAAAAGCAAAAGTTCTTCCTTGGAACGGGGAGGGAGGGAGGGAGGGGGGCAGGACTTAGAGGAAGCCAGAGCCGCGGCTCCTCGAGGGCAACCGAGACCGCCAAGCCGTGACATTGGCGGGGCGGCCGAAATCGCGCCTTCCAGGTTCCTGTCAGTAACCGCGGCGGCGGAAGAAGTAAACAAAACCCGGGCTACTTACTAGAGGGTAACTGGCGCGGCGGGCTGCATCCCCTGCGCTCCAAGGCAGGGCTCGGCTTCTCCGGAGTTCCGAGGGAAGGTGATCTGGGGCGCAGGGGGCGGGCACCCCCGGCCCGGCACGCTTGGCAGCAACTTCCCGGGCTGGCGCGACCCCAAACTCCTTCAAGTCGTCCTCTTCCTTCCCCTGACACCACCGAGGCGGCCGAGTGGCGCGCAGGGCTGGTCGCGCGGCTGTTTGGCTGCTGTCAGCGGCACATCCTGGGGGGGGGAGGGCGGGTGTCTTAGCGGACGGCTCCCGATTGCCGGAAAGGAAAGGATGAGGAGGACGAGCCAACCTGGGCAACCTCCCGGGGCGGGCGGGGAAGAGAAAGGGGACGCGAGGCACCCGTCGAGAGTAGCTCTGGGAAGCAGCCAGCGGACGGCGTGCTCTGGATTCCAGCAAGTGTCTCCTTCCCTCACCCTTCATCGCCCTCGCAGCCATCCATCTCGGCGGCCGAGGTGGAGAAGGCAGGCGGGACGGCAGGAAGCAGTAAAATAAATAAATGACCATCAACTTTCACCGTAAAGCCGCTCGGGAGGCTGCCAGGACGAGCGGCAGTTGTCCTCCCTTCCTTTTGACCCGGCCTGAACCCTTCAGCAACTTGGCGCCTTGGCTTTCGGCCAGTCCCTGAGAGGGACAGGTGGTTCCGATTAAGGCCACCTTGCCGTTTCTGCCCGGGCAACTGTCCCAGTTTGGAAGGAAAAGAGGAAGGATAGGAGAAGCGCGCGCTGGTTTTTTTTTTTTTTGTTGTTTGTTTGTTTTTACCGCCGGTTGTCTGCAATAGGAATACGCCGTCCGCCTCGGGTTCTTTCCGCTTCCCCCCTTCTCCAGAATCACACGGGCCGGGAAAGAGCGGCGTCTGAAAAAAGGCGAGCTGTCTGGATGCCCACCCTGAAATTACTCCGAAGCTGAAGTCGTCGACCCGGGTGCGCCAAAGGCTACGAGTAGTGCCCTACCTGGAACAGGGACTGATCTCTCAGTAGGAAGAGCTAGTCAGCGGAATGGCTTTGGTATCCCACCGGAGATCCGCAGGCGCCCTGGGCTGGGATCCAGCCGCTCAGCCGCCTGTATCTCTTCTCTCTAGCTCTAGACTTCAGGAGCACGAATGTGCCCTTGGGCTGCCCGTTTCCCATCCTTCTTCCCGCGGCCATCCTGCGCCCCCTGCGCCCCTGTCTACATCAAGGACTTAAGTGTCCCACTTTGCTCCTGCTCCGCTGCCTGCCTGCCTGCCTGCCGCTTTAACACCACTCGGACCCTTGTCCTTAAGAAATAGGGTGTGGGAGGGGTCTGAGGAGAGGCGATTGCCCCCTCCCTGCTACGCAAGCGGGTGGGGAGGGAAGAGAGGAGCAAAGAGGCAAAACCCGCGGATTCCAAATCCTCCAGGTGACATCGGGACTCGGAAACTAATGAGATCTTTAATTTGCAAAATTGGAGGGGGAGGAGGAAAAGCATTCTGCCGGGTGGAGACCAGAAACGAATGTTCATGGAAGAATTTACAGTGAATTGTATCTGCTTGTGGACGGTGGAGATTAGGAAGTCTTAGAGAAGAGGAAAGTAAGAATATTTTATCCTTCCCCAACTACAACTTTCTTTTCAGAGTCAAAGTGCTCAGAACTAGTTTTGTGGATTTTTACAACTTTAGAAATGAATGCTCAGAAACCAAGTGCTCCTTGGATTTGCCATCCCCCCTTTCTAAATTTAAGAACTGAGAGAATTAAAGTCTAACTGGGGCAGCTTCACTAATGCCACTACTCTGTTTAGCAAATTGCTGTTGAACAACCTGCCCATCCTCTTGCATTCCTAACTAATTCTGCCTTCTTGCTTATCCTTGTATTTTGATGCAGCCCCTGGATCCAAGCTAAGCACAGCTGGGCCTAGTTAATATGTGGATGGAAGATCTTTAGATAATAGCAGGGATGTAGATTATATTGGGAAGTTTAAAAAATAAATAAGTCCCAGAAACACTTCCATATATACCAAGAAAACCGTGGATGTGTCATTTAAAATCGCCAGGCAGGCACTGAGTGAAACCTTGAAGGAGTTTTTACTTTTACAAAGAAGATAAAAATGTTTCTTAACCAATATAAGGATGGAAACAGCTATAGGTACTATTGAAATTCAATGTCCCCAACTCTTTAATACCCAACAATCACACACACACACACACACACACACACACACACAAATGTTTTAAGGATGAAATGTGTTTCTAGACCAGAAATGTGAGAGTGAATGAAAGTGCTAAATTGTTCCTATGTTATTTAATTCAATATGTTGGGAGGTCACAAAAGATTGTATTAATGTGAAGATTCTCTAGGACAGTCAACTGAATGTCTAAAGCTGATGAGCAAGTACAAAAGTGTATCTTGATTTTCTGGAACACCAAGCTATTTCTGTTCCAACAACCTGCCAATATTTTGTACCTAGGATGCTTTTCTCCAGTGCTATGCATAAGTCCTTGACCTGTGTGGCTCATTACTAAAAGTCAACATGGGTTTGTCAAAAATAGATCATGCCAGACACACCTTATTGCATTCTTTGACCAAGTGACAAAATTAGTGGACCAGAGAATGCTGTGGATATAATTTACTTGGACTTCAGTAAGGCATTTGACAAAGTAGATCACAACCTACTACTTGACAAGATAGAAAAATGTGGGTTAGACAGCATCACCACCAGATGGATTCGTAGCTGGCTGACTGGCCGTACTCAGTGTGTGGTTCTCAATGGAACTGCATCTACATGGAGGGAAGTGTGTAGTGGGGTGCCCCAGGGCTCTGTTCTAGGCCCAGTACTCTTCAACATCTTCATCAATGATTTGGATGAGGGGCTAGATGGGGAACTCATCAAATTTGCAGATGACACCAAGCTGGCAGGAATAGCCAACACTCAAGAAGATAGGCTTAAGATACCGGAGGATCTGGACAGACCTGAACACTGGGCTCTATCTAACAAAATGAAATTCAGTGGTGAAAAAAGTAAAGTTCTACATTTAGGCAAGAAAAAACCAAATGTATAGCTATAGTATAGGTGGTACCTTGCTCAACAGTAGCAACTGTGAGAGAGATCTCGGAGTCCTAGTGGACAATCACTTAGATATGAATCAGCAGTGTGCTGCAGCTGCCAAAAAAGCCAACACAGTGTTAGGCTGCATTAACAGAGGGATAGAATCAAGTTCATTAATACCACTTTACATTGCCTTGGTAAGGCCACACTTGGAATACTGCATCCAGTTTTGGTCACCACGATGTAAAAAAGATGCTGAGATTCTAGAAAGAGTACAGAGAAGAGCAACAAAGATGATTAGAGGTCTGGAGGCTAAAACATATAAGGAACGGTTGCTGGAATTGGGTATGTCTAGTTTAATGAAGAGAAGGAGGAGGGGGGACATGATGGCAGTGTTCCAATATCTCAGGGCCTGCCACAAAGAAGAGGGAGTCAAGCTATTTTCCAAAGCACCTGAGGGCAGGACAAGAAGCAATGGATGGAAACTAATCAAGGAGAGAAGCAACCTAGAACTAAGGAGAAACTTCCTGACAGTTAGAACAATTAACCAGTGGAACAACCTGCCTCTAGAAGCGGTGAATGCTCCAACGCTGGAAGTTTTTAAGAAGAGACTGGACAGCCATTTGTCTGTAATGGTATAGGCTTTCCTGCCTGAGCAGGGGGTTGGACTAGATGACCTCCAAGGTCCCTTCCAACTTTTATTATTGTTATTGTTATTGTTATTGTTATTATTATTAAAGAATCCAAAGTTCTTTTGCTTCATAACAAAGGCAGAAGGTAGGCTATGCATGTACTGACTTTTAGTTTGAAAGGGAAAATCTGATCCCAGAAGCTCATAAACTGGACATTTTATCTAGCACTGGTACAGTTGAGAATTATAAACCTCTTCATCAAAGAGGCCATCACAGATTCTTCAGCAAAACCCTATTAACTGTTTGGCCACCATATAAATTATTTTTAGCCGTGGTTTCAGAAATGCTGGTGGAATCATTGGCTTACTAAAAAAAAAAAAAAAAACCTCAGGCTTCCCATTTCTCCTAGGCTTAAATGTTAAGCAATCAAGTGAACTTCCTCATTATTTGGATAGTATGAAATCCATTCATTACTTACACAGGATGCTTAATAAGGACACACATTTTAAAAGTACCATGAATCATGCATGAAGCTCATTGAGTATAGCTAAAGAAAAGATTTGTGCAATAACAAGGTAGAGTTTTAATGCCAAGTACTTTTCTTATGCAGCTTTTTAAAGAGCACAATAAATGTCCTTTCAAATCAAAGATGGCGATGATTGGATAGAGGATGGAAGCAACTTCAGGAACTGGGTATTTCCCTCCTCACTTGAGATTTTTGAACAGAAACTGGATAGTTGTCTGTTGGGGATGGTGTAGTGATTTCTAAAGTCAACTTACAACCACAATTGGGCCCAAAAATTATATTGCTAAGTGAGAAATTTGTTAAGTGAGTTTACAACTTTTCTTGTCATATTTGTTAAACTGAATCATTGCAGTTTTTAAATTGGTAACATGGTTATTAAGTGAATCTCATCTCTCCATTGTCTTTGCTTGTCAGAGAGTTGCAAAAGGTGATCACATAACCCCACTAAATGAACTGTTGTAAGTGAAGGACTACCTGTAGCAGAGGGCTGATTTGTTGATCTGTTAAGTCCCTTCCAACTCTACAATTCTATGATCTGATCAGTTGCAAGTGCCAATAAATGTCGCAATTCTCAAATATTCTTGGAGTGACTAGAAACTAAAATACTACCTTCATACCAAATGCTTTACAGCCCAATGGAATTAAGAATCTCTTGCTTTACTCTTTAAAAATAACTTTATAATTTTTTATTGCTTTATAATTTTTTATTGCTTTACACTATATCTGAATTGTAGTGATTTGGATATTTCAGATGATGAGTTTTAAAATTTTATTTGTGTTTTTATGTATTGTCCCAAAGATGCTTTTTCACAAGGCAACTGGACTTTCTCTCTGAACTGAAGAAGCTTCTTGGATGAGAAGTGAAATGTCTTCAAAGAAAAAACAAAGTCTAGTTGCCTTGTGAAAAAGCATCTTTGAGATAACTGTGACCTGGATGACTAAGAATCTCCATAGACTTTTATGTATTGTCTTAAATCAGTTGGATAGAGCAGTATAATGATAGATTAATAAACATCCAATCCAAAAACAAGTATATGTGGGAAGAAGGGGAAATTTGTGACATTTTTGTCCCTATTAACTGAAATTTGTGTACAGTATTTTAAGGTTTACATTTAGTTTTTCCTCAACTTAAAAACAAGAACTCTGTTAGGTTTCGGACATTAAAGAGAATCTTGGGTATATCTGTGGGTTGGGGAGATCCGGTAAGAAAGAGTAGGAAAGAATAGTTAATGATATGTACTCTGAACTTAAACTGAAAGGTTATTGTAGCATAACTAACCAGCTTGCTTACTTTATTAATGTATTTTACACATTTCTATTTGACTGCAGTTGAAAGATATTTGATAATGTACATAAAATATACAAACCAATTAAAACAATACAAACTTTCATTAAAACAGTACCAACCGAACCAAATACTGTAAGTTAAAAAGTAGTTAAAAATGGAGTGATAAAATCGGGGGAAGAATTTTTGAAATCATTCTATTTATAATAACTACTAGGACATCCAAAAGGGAGAGACTACCTTGTTCTCTGTTGGACGTGGTTCTGCATTGGTGCTGCCAGCATCTTCCTGCTTTAACTCCCTGAACTTCCTCAGAACATAGGATCAACAAAGTTGCTCTCTGTTTCTATAGTCAGTTGGCCCAATACAATCCTGTAGATATCTGGATGCCTAGCTGGTATTATATGCTCCCAATAAAGGGAGCTGGAATATATGCAGGCTATAGCAGAAATGCTATAGAAATGCAACTTAAATGTGCAACAGGATCAATGTGATATATGCTAAGTAACATTGTGTCTCACTCTTCATCAAATCATAAAATGTTTTCCCTCACAACCAGTGGTGGGATTCAGCTAGTTCGCACCACTTCGGCAGAACCGGTAGCTAGTTTTTTGTGGTCCAGGCCCAGAATGGACTTCTGGACCTGGCATCCACACAGAGAACTAATTGTTCACATATTTGAATCCCACCACTGCTCACAACCACATATACTTAAGAATACAAATTTCTGCTCTGGCTACATCTGAGATGAGATATATGACATGAAACTCAAGAAGGAAACTTCCATACAACCCAGTTTCCTGTCTCGTTTCTGATGGCAGTATAAAATTCACCCAAGATTGATCTGAGCTGTTTTTTGACCATTTGCAGGTCTGTTATCTTTCTTCTCTTGCAACTCTTCCTGTATATAGCAGCCAAGATGAAGTAAGCAAATCTGACATTGATCTAATTGGCAATAGACAAGCTGAAACTCTTTTGTTAACCCAGGATTATTTTTACTTGGAAGGCCTTTTCTACACAAAGGTATAGATCTATTTTTCAAGCAAGAAGAACCCCATTGTTATTAGATGATCTCATAGCTACAGATATGCAGTTACAATACATTTTTAATTTGTTTATTCTTTCTGAAAAAGAGGAGTAAGCAGTTTTAAGGGAGTAGTATCATTCCTACACAAAGAAAGTAGAGGTGTATTGCTTTCAAGAGCCAGTCTCTGTAGCCATGCACTACCTCCCAATGGTTGTCCAGCTAGAGGCCTAAATGTTTACTTGCTAGCATTTTGAAGAGAACATGGTTCCCTTCAAAATTGCCTGTCCCCACTTTTTTCCCCTCTCAGGAAGAAGGGGAAAAAGGATGTGAGCTTGGCAATTAGTTCCTGGCCAGCTGCTGAATAGTCAGTGATCAGTACTCTGTATTCTTAGTTATTACTGTAGCCAAAAAGAGCAAACACTGATGGATTGACATGTCTGAATATAGTACTTGCAAATATATAAATACACACATCCTCATTGTGACTTGGTACTCACCAAGACTGGGAAATAATCTGGTTCAGTCTGGTGAATTTTAAAGTCAGTTCAAAAAGATGGGAGACGCAGCGGCAAATCTTCTGAGGGGCTCTGAAATGGAAATTTCACATCCACAGAAATAATGAGAACATATTTAGATTTTAGTTAAACTGCAAGGTCCTGATCACAATATCATTTGATTGCAAAGGTTCTTATCTCATACCAAACTGGAATTGTATTTTATTTTCTAACTTCCAAAGAAACTTCTAACTTTTTTAGTAACTTCTAAGAAAAGAAAAGCACCAGATCTTGATAATGGTAGCTGAGGTTACATTTCAAAGCTCTGGAAAATAGTCCTATTATAATTGATCTGACTTTGCCAACATGTTTCTGGTCCAAACAATTGGCAGCAAATTATTACAGAAAATCCACTTGCTGAGCCAGCTTCACCAGATCTGTAAATTCCCCATTTAAACTTCTGAGGGAAAAAATATAAATAATCCAGGACAAGAAAATAAATAATAACAAAGGTGTTTCCAATGAAAGTTGTCATTGCTG